AACATGCAATGTTTTGGATACAGGCATACAATGTGAAATTAATCAAATCACGGTAATTGGGGTACCCCGTCACCTCAGGCATTTAACATTTCTTTGTGTTAAGAACATTCCAATTCCCTCTTTTAGTTATTTTAAAGTACACCCTAACTTGTTGACTATATCATTTTGTTGTGCTATCAAATATTGTTCATTCTATCTATATAACTATATTTTTGCACCATTAATAGTTGCATCCAACTTTGAAAACACAAACTATGAGAAGAAAGGTGAGGAGGGGACTGTGAGAATATGAGCTTGAAAATTAACTTACTACAGATGCAGTCGGATGTTAATAAATCAAGAAATACGAGACATTAACATTATTTAGTGTTACCGTGTTAACTACCAGAAAGGTCATAAAACAGAGATGGTAAAATGATTACCTCTGAGTAGGAGGCATGGGGGTGGGGAAGATAAGGCAGAAGACTTTGATATTCCACGTTAAGCCTAGTCACACTGTAGGAACACTATTAAGAAATGGCACTGCCCACTTTCCCGCCTCCTCTTCTCAATTTCATTTCCTCTCCTTTGCTCATCTGCTTCCGGGGCAAGGCAGGTTCCGCCCCCTCCTCAGCACTTACCCTCATCTGCTGGAGGAGGAGGAGCAGAATTCATTGTTTACAGGATGCCAATGCCAGAGGAAAAAGAGACCAATAAAGTTTATTGTGGGCTGGGTGCCGTGGCTCATGCCTGTAATCCTAGCACTCTGGGAGGCCGAGGCAGGCGGATTGCTTGAGGTCAGGAGTTTGAAACCAGCCTGAGCAAGAGCGAGACCCCATCTCTACTATAAATAGAAAGAAATTAATTGGCCAACTAATATATATATAGAAAAAATTAGCCGGGCATGGTGGTGCATGCCTGTAGTCCCAGCTGCTGGGGAGGCTGAGACAGGATTGGATTGCATGAGTCCAAGAGTTTGAGGTTGCTGTGAGCTAGGTTGACGCCATGGCACTCACTCTAGCCTGGGCAACAAATGGAGACTCTGTCTAAAAAAAGAAAGGAAAGGAAAGGGAAAGGGAAAGGGAAAGGGAAAGGGAAAGGGAAAGGGAAAGGGAAAGGGAAAGGAAAGACAGGGTCTGTCTCTGTAGCCCAGGCGGGAGTGCAGTGACAGGATCATAGTTCACTGTAGCCTCAAACTCCTGGGTTCAGGAGTTCCTCCTGGATGGAAATCCGGATTTTTTAAGAATATCATTTGTAGAAGATAATGTCATTTGTGAACATAGATAGTTTTACTTCTTCCTTTTCAATCTGGATGCCTTTTATTTATTTTTCTTGCCTCCTCCCACCTCAGCCTCCTGAGTAGCTGTGACTACCAGCAAGAGCCACCATGCCTGGCAATGGATTACTTTTATAATGCAAATAAATATATATTATGAAGGTAGGTAAAAACTAATCTATGAAACAAGGAAGTATGTAAGAGACAAAGAAAATTTGTGGAATCTAGCAACATAAAAAGAATTATGCACAATTACTAAGTGGGATTTATCCCAGGAATGCCAAGTTGGTTTAACACTGAAAATCAATGTAATACACCATATTAATAGAATAAAGGACAAAAACCACATGGTCATCTCAATAGATGCAGACATAGCTTTTGACAAATTTTAACACCCTTTCACAGCAAGAATCCTCAACAAGCATGGAGAGAAGAGAGAACTTCCTCAACCTGATAAAGGGCATCCACAAAACCCCCACAGCTAACATACTTCATGGGGACAGACTGAATGCTTTCCCACTAAGATCAGGAACGAGAGGAAGGTGTCTGCTCTCACCACTATTCAACATTGAGTAGGTTCCAGCCAGGGCAACTTGGCAAGAAAAATAAATAAAAGGCATTCAGATTGAAAAGGAAGAAATAAAACTATCTCTGTCCACAAATGACATGATCTTCTACATAGGAGATCCTAAGAAATCAAACACACAACTATGAGAGCTATAAACAAGCTCAACAAGGTTGCAGGATCAATATAGAACAAGCTGTAGCCTATAATCCTAGCACTCTGGGAGGCCAAGGCAGGAGGATTGCTGAAAGTCAGGAGTTCAAAACCAGCCTGAGCAAGAGCAAGACCCCATCTCTACTAAAAATAGAAAGAAATTAATTGCCCAACTAAAAATACATAGAAAAAATTAGCCGGGCATGGTGGCGCATGCCTGTAGTCCCAGCTACTCGGGAGGATGAGGCAGGAGGATCGCTTGAGCCCAGGAGTCTGAGGTTGCTGTGAGCTAGGCTGACGCCCTGGCACTCTAACCCAGGCAACAGAGTAAGACTCTGTCTCAAAGAAAAAAAAAAAGAAAAGTAAGCTGTATTTTTATACATTAGAATTAATCCAAAAACGAAATTAAGAAAACAATTCCATTTATAATAGCATCAAAAAGAATAAAATATCTAGGAACATATTTGACAAAAAGAAGTACAAGACTTGTACACTAAAAGCTACAAACATTACTGAAGTAAATTAAGTAACTGGAAAGATATCCCCTGTTCATGGATTGGACGACTTGATTGTTAAGATGGCAGTACTACCTCAATTAATGTATGGGTTCAACACAATTTCCATCAAAATTCCAGCTGCCTCTTTTGCCAAAATTGACAAGCTGATCCTGAAACTCATATGAAAATGCAAGGGACCCAGAATAGCCAAAACAATTCTGAAAAAAAAAAAAAACAAAGTCGAAGGATTCACATTTTCTGATTTCAGAACTTGCGATAAAGCTGTAGCAGTCAAGACTATGTGGCACGGGGGCAAGGACAGACATAAAATCAAGGGAGTAAACTGCGAGTCTAGAAGTCAACCCACACATTTATGGGCAACTGACCTTTGATAAGGGTGCCAAGCCCATCCAATGGGGGAAAGAAACATCTTTCTGCAAATGGTGCTGGGGCAACTGGATAGCCACATGCAAAAATAAATAAATAAATAAATAAGTTCGACCCCCTCCCTCATACAATATACAAAACCTAACTCGAAAAGGATCAAAACATAAATCTAAGAGTTAAAAGAGTATGAAACTCTTAAAACACAGGAATAAATCTTTGTGAATTTGGGATAGGCAATGATTTCTCAGATATGACACTTAAAAGTATAACCAACAAAAGAAAAAATAAGTAAGTTAGACTTTATCAAAACTAAACACTTTTGCACTCTAAAGGACACTATCAAAAAATGTGAAAAGACAACCCACAGAATGGGAGAAAGTATTTGCAAATCACATGTCTGATAAGGGTCTAATACCCAGAATATATAAAGAACTCTTATAAATCAACAACAAAAAGACAACCCAGTTTAAAAATGGATAAAGGACTTAAACAGATATTTCTCCGAAAATGATATACAAATGGCCAATAAGCTCATGAAAATGTGTTCAACATTATCAGTCATTGGGGCAATGCAAATCAAAAGTACAAAGAGATATCACCTCACACCCCCTAGGATGGCTATAACCAAAAAGACAGATAATAAAAAAGGTGAGGATGTGGAGAAATTGGAACCCTCATACCTTGCTGATGGGACTATAAATGGTGCAGCCATGTTGTAAAACAGCATGCAGTTCCAGCCGGGCGGGGTGGCTCACGCTGTAATCCTAGCACTCTGGGAGGCCGAGGCAGGCGGATTGCTCGAGGTCAGGAGTTTGAAACCAGCCTGAGCAAGAGCGAGACCCCGCCTCTACTATAATAGAAAAAAATTAATTGGCTGACTAATATATATAGAAAAAATTAGCCGGGCATGGTGGTATATGCCTGTAGTCCCAGCTACTCGGGAGGCTGAGGCAGGAGGATTACTTGAGCCCAGGAGTCTGAGGTTGCTGTGAGCTAGGCTGATGCCATGGCACTCACTCTAGCCTGGACAACAAAGCGACACTCTGTCTCAAAAAAAAAACAACAAAAAATAGTGTGCAGTTCCTCCAAAGATTAAGTGTAGAGTTACCCTATGACTCAGCAATTTTACTCCTATGTATATACCCAAAAGAAATTAAAACATATGTCTACACAAACACAAACACTTATACACAAATGTTCATAACAGCATTATTCATAATAGCCAAAATGTGTAAACAGCCCAAATGTCCATCACCTAATGAATTAACAAAGTGGTATATCCACACAATGGAATACTATTTAGCAATGAAAAGGAATAAAACACTAATACATGCTACAACATGGATGAGCCTTGAAAACATTATGCAAAGTGAAAGAAGCCAGACATAAAAGGCCGCATATCAAATGATTTCATTTATATGAAATGTCCAGAATAAGAAATCCATAGAGACAGAAAGTAAATTAGTGGTTTCTAGGGGCTGGGGGGAGAGGGAAATGGGGAGTAACTGCTCATGGGAACAGGGTGTCGTTTGGGGGGTGATGAAAGATTCTGGAATCAGATAGTGGTGATTGTTGCACAATTCTGTGAACAGATTAAAAGCTACTGAATTGTACACATTAAAAGGGTTGGCCGAGCGTGGTGCCTTACAACTGTAATCCTGGCACTCTGGGAGGTAGAGGCGGGGGGGATCGTTTGAGCTCAGGAGTTCAAGACCAGCCTGAGCAAGACCACCCCATCTCTACTAAAAAAACAGAAAGAAGTGAGCTGCACAACTGAAAAAAAATTATATATATATATATAATTATCCTGTCTATCTTGCATTCCTAAAAAAAAAAATAAAAAATAAAAAAATATATATATAAAATTAGCTGGGCATGGTGGCACATGCCTCTAGTCTCACCTACTCGGGAGGCTAAGGCAGGAGGATTGCTTGAGCCCAGGAGTTTGAGGTTGCTGTGAGCTAGGCTGATGCCACATCACTCTAGCCTCGGCAACAGAGTGAGACTCTGTCTCAAAAAAAAAAAAAAAAAAAACAGGTGAATTTTATGGTATCTGAAAAAGAAAGGAAAGAAAGAGTGAGAGAAGTGAAGAAAGAAAGAAAAAAAGAAAGGGAGGGAGGGAGGAGGGGTAGACAATACAAATACATATAAAACTTCGAGGGAGAAGGGAAAGAAATTAAAGAATGAACTTGGCCCTTTATTTTCTCAGCAAAACAGTCATTCACTCCACAGACCTTATCTGCTACGTGTGGAGTGCTCAGTACATGCTTCTTGGCCCAACCGAGGCTCAGTAGCTGAACATTTACTAAGAAGGTAAAGGGCTCTGCCTATTTGGAAGGGGTGGAGTTGAGGATTTTAAAATGAGGGCATTTTCCATGGAGCCTTCTAAGTGCAGGGGACACCCTTAGTGTGTTAGCCATGCTGGGCCATGGTCTGTTCTCCAAAAGGCATTTTAAGGGGCAGGAATCTTTTCTTGGCTTCTGCAGTAGGTCTTCTTGCCAGTGACAACATGAGGGCAGCAGTGGAAAATGACATATTTTCAGTTCCTGGGCAAAATGTCTCCATGGTCTTGGCAAATAAGTTCTTTAGCCATTTTCCCAATAAGTGATTCATTCTCTTGGAGGCAACGCTGTGGGCACTTCCTGGACACCCACTCACCTGGAAAAAGTGAGGTTGCTACTGTCCAAAAGGAATGCTTCCTTCTGCTGCCTGCAAAGAAAACAAGCTCATTGTAGGTAGAAACGGCTGCCTTCAGAAACAACGCACGCTCTCACTCACACGTAGCATCTAAAACAGTCGAACTCATAGAAACAGAGAGTAGAATGGTGGTTACTGGGGGCTGGAGCGGGGTTGGATTGGGGAGATGTGGAATGGACACAAAATTTTAGACAGGAATAATAAGTTCAAGAGATCTGTTGTCCAACATGGTGACTATAATTGGTAACAATGCACTGGATAACTTGAAAATTGCTAAGAAAGCAGATCTTTAAGCGTTCCCATGACAAATAAAAGATAATTACACAGGCCGGGCGGGGTGGCTCACGCCTGTCTGTAATCCTAGCACTCTGGGAGGCCGAAGCGGGCGAATCGCTCGAGGTCAGGAGTTTGAAACCAGCCTGAGAAAGAGCGAGACTCCGTCTCTACTGTAAATAGAAATTAATTGCCAACTGAATATATATAGAACAAATTAGCTGGGCTTGGTGGCCTGTGGTCCTAGCTACTTGGGAGGCTGAGGCAGAAGGATTGCTTGAGCCAGGAGTTTGAGGTTGCTGTGAGCTAGGCTGACGGCATGTCACTCTAGCCTGGGCAACAAAGGGAGACTCTGTCTCAAAAAAAAAAAAGAAAAAAAAAAAGATAATTATGCAAGGTGATGCACATGTTAATTAGCTTTATTATTCATTCCACAATGTATATATATTTAAAACATCATGTGAAGCATAAATCACACAATTTGTATTTATCAATTAAAATAATGAAAAAAGAAATGCCTGCCTTCTCTCTTCTTGCCTGCCCTTACCTAACCCCTCACCTGCCTGGGGACCTGCTCTCCCGTGTCTGAGGGGACAAGAAGGCACACAGATGTGTCCTAGGGGCTGGACAGCCCAGGCCAGAGGCCCAGTATGGAATGGAATGTCTTGCCTTAGAGTTAAGGCCGAGGCTTAACCACAGAGGCGGAACTTCCCTGGCCTTTCCTGGAAACGGCCCCTGAAATGCCCAAAGCACAGACTGCATGACACGGTTCTGTTCCCACTCAATCACCGTTGGCCACATGCCTCGGTCTCTACCTGTAAAAGACACCTCTGGCCTTTGACGCTCAGAGAGGAAAACGCGTGGCCTCCGCCCAGCTCTGCGTTTCCCGCTCCGCGGCGCCCTCTCGTGGCTGGCCGGACGCGCGGCCTTCCCGCCCGCTAACGGGTTCTCAGCTGGGCTGCGTGGGCGTCACCGGGGGCTGCAACTCACGCGGGGGCCTGGGTGCACCCGGGAGATGCCGACTTAATTGGTCTGGGTGCAATCTGGGCGTCGGGATTTTTAAAACTTCCCAGGTGATTGCAATGTGCGGTCAAGGCTGGGAACCCCTGAGGCACTTCTTCCAAGGGTCTTGGGTTGGCTGAGGACATTTCTCCAGAGCCCACCAGGCTCCCGGATTCACTTTCCAGATGTTAAGGACCCTTTGGAAAGCCAAAACACCTCACTGAGGGCATTGCGCCTTCACACATACACCCCTGCTCCCAAAGTACTCATGACAGTCAATGCACTTTCGATTTCCATTGCTTCAGAAAATCTTTTTGAAAAATTGCAGTTTCATAAATAGATAAAGCATATTATTTGTGTGGTCTGCTGACAACATCCTTGGTCTCTGTGTGTGTTGCGTGTGCGCCCAGCTTCCTCGCTATCATTTCAGGAGCTTCCCAGGGTCTTAGGTTAGAGATCTGCTAGCCCTGGCACTCTGGCCCTAATGTTAAAAGCAGACCGTGGCTTTAGCCACATCTGTCAGTATTCAGGCTCTCGCTGTCCAGTGCTCCGTTCACTGGGGGAAATTCCAGAACTGCTGCCCAGCGGGTCAGCCAGGGCCAGCTGAAATTCCCAGGGGGCGGATGGGGAGTCACAGCATGCATTCTGACATTCCATCTCAGCTGGACCCCAGGACTCCTGGCAGAAGGAGCCTCACAGCCACCCCATGACCTTGTCATTCACTTGATTCATAGTCTCCCAGTGGCGCCGCTGTCAGAGTGTGTTTAAGGGTGTGACAGTGCGCAAGGCACCTCTCGTGATATAGTCACCACTGTCATCACAGTCAGCAGCATTTTTTATTTTTATTTTTTCTTTACGCATCTTTAATTGTAATAGCAGAAAACACAGCATTTTTTAGTTCTTCTATGTGCAGAGCACTTTTCAGGAACTGTTAAACATTAGAAAACAGTGTCCTTGTCCTCAAAAATTGTATAGTCCTACGTGAGAGGGATGAGAACATGAGGACATGTGAGAAAATGAAATTGTGTTTAATTCCATCAAAACTAATAGAGCACTTGTGTAAGAAGTTGTGTGAGGCATCTTATATATTTTTCAGAGACAGGGTCTCGCTCTGTCACCCAGGCTGAGTGCAGTGGCATAATCATAGCTCACTGCCAGCCTCAAAATCCTGGGCTCAAATGATCCTTCTGCCTCAGCCTCCCCAGTAGCTGGAACTATAGGCATGCAGCACCATGCCCTGCTAATTTAAATTTTTTTTTTTTTTTTTGGTAGAGACAGGGCCTTGCTATGTTGCTCAGGCTGGTCTGGAGCTCCTGGCCTCAAGTGATCCTCCTACCACAGCCTTCCAAAGTCCTGGGATTACAGGCATGAGCTACCATATGTAGCTCAGACACTTTAAAGATGCCTTAAAAGAGGTTGGAGGCCTGGTAAGGTGGCTCACACCTGGAATCCTAGCACTTTGGGAGGCCAAGGAAGGAGGACAGCTTGAGGCCAGGAGTTTGGAACCAGTCTGAGCAAGAGTGAGACCCCATCTCTACAAAAAAATAGAAAAATTAGCCAGGCATGGTGGTATACACCTATAGTCCCAGCTACTTGGGAGGCTGAAGCAGGAGGATCGCTTGAGCCCAGGAGTCTGAAGTTGCTGTGAGCTGTGATGACGCCACTGCACTCTAGCCCTGGCAACAGAGCAAGACCCTAGTCATGAGTCTGAAAAGAAAACAAACAAAAAAGGCTTAGAATCTGCCAAGATGAGGACAAGGACTGAGACAATACTAAAATATAAAAGTCAATGATACAAAGTATGGTAAGATAGTGCCTGTACCTTTTTGTGCCAGTCATGAGTCTGAAAAGAAAACAAACAAAAAAGAGATAGTGCCTGTACTGATCAGGACTGATTCTGCTGCAAAAGTCAGTTGGTCAACTAAAACTCACTTAGATAACCAACCAACCAACCAACCAACCAACCAACCAACCAGAAAAAAAGGAATTTATCGATTCATTGAACCAGAGGAGGGAAAGAATAGAGATGAGCTGAGCTTCCTTGGGGCCAGCGGACTCCAGGACTGAAATGCCAAGAGGAATTTCCCCCCCACCCTCACCCTGACCCCAGCCTCTGGGCCTCTCTCCCTGGCCTTCCTTCTCTTTCACACAGAGGGCTTTCTCAGAGAGCAGGAAATATGGCCCCAGGCAGTTTGGGCTCATACCCTTGGCACTCTACCGAAGAGGAAGAGAAATGTTCCCTTCTGGGTTCCACTGAAAAGAAGAAAAACAAAACAGAAAAAACAGAAAAGGAATTGAGGTACCCAGCCTTGGTAACCCATGTGCAGCCAGACAGGAATAGGGGAGCAATGTCCCCTGAACGAAGGGGGCCGATGATCACAGCAGGTAAAACCAGGTGAGCCAGTGCAAGCTGTGCGATTGCTTTTCTGGAAGGAGGGTCCACAGTTTTTTAACAATTGTCAAAGGGATCCCTGACCCCAAAACAGCCCTTGAAGGCACCTCTCAAGCAGTTCAACTCTCCCATTTTACAGAAAAGAACCCTGGTACAGAGGGTTTAGGTGATTTGCCTGAGATGACACAACTGTGATGGGATCCTGCGTTTGATTGAATATAAGCAGGGGAGGGGGCACATGAGAAAGAAAAGTCAAAACTGGGTCTGAAATTTAGAGTCAAGACAAACATTTTAAAGATGATGGTGTACTGAACAGAGTGGCGAGGTGCAGGGAAGAAAGCACAGAATGAGGTGAGACTGATTTTTTTTTTAAGCTAAAGTCAACAAGGGCTGCTTCAGCTACATTCCAAGGCCCCACCACTGTTTATAATCTTGGAGGAATTTTATTTATTTTATTTTTTTAGAGACAGAGTCTCACTTTGTTGCCCAGGCTAGAGTGAGTGCCGTGGCGTCAGCCTAGCTCACAGCAACCTCAAACTCCTGGGTTCAAGCGATCCTCCTGCCTCACTCTCCCAAGTAGCTGGGACTACAGGCATGCGCCACCATGCCTGGCTAATTTTTTCTATATATATTAGTTGGCCAATTAATTTCTTTCTATTTAGAGTAGAGACGGGGTCTCGCTCTTGCTCAGGCTGGTTTTGAACTCCTGACCTCGAGCAATCCGCCCTCCTCGGCCTCCCAGAGTGCTAGGATTACAGGCGTGAGCCACCGCGCCGGGTCTTGGAGGAATTTTAAAGAACTGGGTGAGGGCCCCTGCCCCAGACTAGAAATGGGCAAATGTTGCCCTGATTTTCTAAAAGAGGAACAAGCAGATTCCAAGAACTGCAGGCCGGTGAACTGAACAAGGCTCCAGTGTGGGCTGGTTAAGGACAGGTCGCGCCAGATGGGGCTGTTGCTATTTTTGAGAAAGTTCTTAGCCTGGCCGTTTACTTGAGGGAAGGCGAGGCTAGACTCTTGGCTTGTTGAATCTGAAAAGAACCTTAAAAGCCAGGGAGGGCGAACGGGTGGCCCGCAGCTAAGTGCAACCCTCGGGCATTTAAAATAAATAACATTTCCCGTGAAGTCGGCTTTCGTGGCTTCATGCTGACGCCGGCCTCGGTTCCGGCCCGCAGCGACATGGCCGCCCTCAGTAGGTGACCACGCACGCGCGCACGCTGCAGGCCCCTCTCATTGGACGGAGACTCCAAGAAAGGGAAGGGAGTGGGCGCGCTTCCGGTCCCTGAGAAGATGGCGATCCAGGCTGAAGTCGACCCTGGGGAGACTACGGAAGCAGAGAGAAGTTTGC